AATCGTTATCTCTTATTCTATGAATTTTTTTAGCCTTAGCCGGTTTAACCTCAACCAATACAAGACAAGTAAAAGAAAAGCTAAAGCTTCACCATTAGAAATCATACTTGACCTGTAAAAAAGAATTACATATAACATGTCAAATATAAAATAAACAACAACCAAAATATTTATAACATGTCAAATATAAAGTAAATAACAAGAAAAATATTTATCTAATAACAAAAGTGATACACCAAAAATTATCCAATAACAAAACTCATGCATATAAAATTCATCAAACGTAACATAACAAAAGTCATTGAAAAATTCATCAAACCTAACATCCAAAAGTCATGCAACAAAGAACTAGTAAAATTAATCAAATGTAACATCTAAATAGTCGTCAAAGGTAACCAAACTTCATTCCTGCACTCCTCACCCACAAGTCACAAGTACTTGGCGTAATTCATAACCAAACTTTCCTAACATCGGCACTTTCAGCAAATAACAAAAGAGCGGTTTTGTGTCTTTCATCTTCTTCTCCCCATCCCATTTTTGCCAATTTCTCCATACATGCATCTATGTCCTTATCCATTTCACTTCTTTGATTTTGTTCCACAAGCGTCCTTGCAAACTTGATGATTTCCTCCTCAACTTCTAGTCCCTTGCGTTTCTCTTGTTTCCACCAGCTCTTTTATTTCCACCTACTCTCCTATTTTTCGAATATTCGGAGGATTCTTCACTTGCAGCTACGTGTTGGACTGAGTCAGGGGTTTCCGTTTGGGTGCAATGAACCTCATCAAAGTCATGCTCAGTAAGTGTATTCAGGAGTAAGACGAGGAAATGTAGAAGATGGCCTCCAACTATCAAAGCCGGTAGAGGTTGATCCTTCAAATAATTAGGTGCACAGATCAGGATAAAGGAGGGGCACAGTTTTCAAAGCTCCTACAATCTTGTTCAGCTGTTTAAAATTTTAAAATTATCAAACCATTAAAAGAAAATAATCATATTTATACTATTTGTTTTAAAATTAGACGAGTATATATTACCTTTGTCTCCGTATCCCATTGTTCGTTAGTCAAACTAAATTTATTTGTTAAAGGATCATATATATTTCCGGTTTTGCTTTTAAGTTTCATCCAAGCTTGATACATATATGCTCATAATTTCAGCATGTACGTTCAAAAAAACAGCATTGTAACATCCAAAAATTTACGCCAAATTTAAACTTTTCAAGCATAAATAAAACCCAATAGTATTGTTTACAAAAATGTTTCCAATTCATTATTCAATCAGAGTGTCCCAAAAACCAAATAATAAGGATGAGGAGCGGTACGGTCACGCCTTCGCCTTGCCATGAACTCCTGAAGTACCTGAAACAATAAACTGAAAAGTGTAAGCCCGAGGGCTTAGTGAGCTACCCCCAAAATACCAATACCACACTGATAATACCATATCCGTAATAATCAATCATTCAACATACATACTGGGCCATCGGCCTGACTAGACCACCCTACAGGGCCTACAGTCTATCTGAATCTGTCCCGAGCCTTCGGCATAACTGGACCGCCACGAGGGCCTACAGTCTCCCCGGACCGCTCATAGGGTGTGTTGGCCTTCAGCACAAAGCAGGATCACCTCAACCCAAGCAACAAGCAAATAACCATGTGCGCATAACTAACATATACTGACATATACAAATACCAAGCATATCTATCTCACTGATCACCAAACATAGCAATCTCTCATAATTAGAGCACTGACCTAGCAGGTCACTAACATATCAATCCCTATGGATTATAAGAGCATAACATACTGTCTATCCTGATTCTGATCTAACAGATCATATCCACATGTAGCATACCGTAACAATAACAACTAAAAGGGTCGGCCTTGGTGCCTTAGACCCTATCGATATAGTGAGGATAACTCACCTTGCAGATGTCGACTTGGTAGATAAACTTCAACCCTCGAATCACTGCCACAAAACTCCACCACCTATTACTATAGTATAATCATACCCATGAGTTTCCAACCCTTCAAGGTACCCCCATAAGCCAACTGATCAAACCTTGGTCAAAGTCAAAGTCATCAGTCAAGGTCAACAGTCCATGTTGACCTTGACTCGCCGAGTACCCTCGGCTACTCGTCGAGTTCCTTGAAGTACTAACCCACCCGCCGAGTTACCTTGGTGACTCGTCGAGTTCCTTCGGTTTACGATCGAACCCTAGGACCACTCGCCGGGTTTCCTCCTTGCCACTCGACGGTTACACACGTGTACATAAGTTGAGGAAACCTCAACCGACTCGCCGAGTTGTTCATCCACTCGTCGAGTCTACGGAAATCTTCATCGGACTAGCCGAGTTGTTCATCCAACTCGTCGAGTTCAATGCCTATCTTCATATGACTCGCCGAGTCGACTATGCGACTCGCCGAGTTCCTTCAGTCCTTTTTGCCATACAGACTCATTTGAGCCATGCAGCGGCTCCAAACTACAGATCCAAGCTTTTAAGGCATGCTTTTCACGTAAAGTTGCAAACTTTACGTGCATGCATAGCTACAAAGGTTCCAAATATCAAATCTAAGCTCACAATGGGGTTTCTTACTCAAGGAGGGTTTCATTCACGCCCAAACGAGAGGCTTTATGACTCTAGGACTTAAGAAGGGTCCAGATCTGAAGTTACAACTTCAAATCTAGATCATAGCTCACCATATCAATTCAAAGATCCATAAAAACCCCAAACTCAACCCAAAAAGAGATCTAGAAGGGAAAAGAGGTAAGGGTGGCGATTAGATACCTCTGGAAGATACTAACTGAGGTAGATTCTGGTTCCCACACTCTCCTTGCTCTAATTCCCTTGCCTTCCAAGTTCCTCTTCTCAAAAGATCTCCTCTCCAAGCTTTAAACACACAAGGAATGAACACCACACGAATTAGGGTTTTCTAGGCTCTCAATGGACTGCAAGGAGGCCAAAGGAGGCTTATGCTTCCTTAAATAGGGTGCAAAACCCCGAGATTTAGGGTTTCATCTGCTAGCTCCTACTCGTCGAGTCCCTTCACGGACTCGGCGAGTAGGTCACTAAACACGCGTACCAAGCCCGTTGCTACTCGATGAGTAGGGCAACCAACTCGTCGAGTAGGACTTGAAACCAATTAAATTCTTATTTAAACAATACCTGAGAATCGGGGCGTTACAAGCATATTTATAACTAAAGTTCTGCATGTATATACAAAAAACATCATTTATAATCAAAATTTTACATATATATACAAAAAAACAACATATATATTCATTAGTTGAGCATGTATGTTCAAAAAACAGCATATATGTTCATAAAAATTAGCATATTTGAACAAAAATCAACATGTTTGAACAACCCACAACATGAATGTATACTTCAATAACGACAAAAACATGTTCTAATTTTGATTTTAACCACAAAAACAAGTATAATGCACAAATTCTGAAAAATAAGAAATTCTGGAAAAAAAAAACTTGTTCACAAAAACAAGTTTTGATTTTAATTTCACTCGTTTCGAAATCAGGAAAAAAGAAAGATTAATTGAAAACCCTTGCTGATGGATCGAAAAAAAAGGATGAGAAACTTGTTGATGGATTGACAAAAGGAGAAGATGAAACCTGTGGGGCGGAGATGGGCTGCTTGGCAGGAGGAGGTTGGCCGGCGACAGAAGATGGAGGCGATGGAAGGTGGGTAGAGCCGATGATGGGGTGATCGAAGATGGAGGAGACGGATGTGTATGCGTTTTTTTGTTAGGGCACAAATGTCCAACACTTCCTTTTTTTTGCATTCAGACTTCTTTTGTGGTTTTGTGGGAAAGTCCAATCTTACCGGGAAAGACGGAGTTTTTTGTGCAAATCAAACGGTCTTTCCGGCCCATTCAGCCGGAAAGATCTTTTTTGGGCTGGAAAGACATTTATCAAGCATGACCTAAATAATATATTTGTATCAACATGTTGTTATTATGAACTTTTAAGATCATATATTATATAACAATATCTATCTAGAATGAGCACACAC